AAAAGTCTAAATATGGATACCAGGATTAGAAGTAAATCTTATAAGAGCAAAAGCAATTAAATAGGAATTATTTAAATTGCAAGTGGAAGTTTCAGCAACTGTATAAAACTAGGCTAGCTCAAATAGAATAGGGTAGGCTCTGGTAGGTTTATCTCGAAGATAGCTATGCATTCACTCAATAGAGGAATGCAAGCTGGTAATAGTCAGTGCAAACCCAGAATAGGTCTCAAAAGTCCTAAAGCTGGATTGCACAATCTAGTAGAACAGGCCAGAAGTAGTTCTCAAGTTGGTATGATATGTTTAAAAATAAAAGTTTAATTAGATAACTTACTAGTTGGGTTATAGGTATGATATCTAGTATAGAACCTGTTAGCAGACTACTTAAATAGACACTCAAAAGGTGTATGTATGCTAGTTATATCTTCATTGTAACTATAATAGCAAATTATTACTAATAAGGAGTCCCCAGGCCAAAGAGATCAGCTTAACACTGAAAAAAAAATATATATATACTATATATATATATACTACAAAAATTCTGTTCTTTTTCTAATATAGTATTATATTTATTTTTACAAACTCTTATATTTTTCTTAAATTATAGGTGTGGTAACTTAGTGAAGTGGTGGAGTTGTCACACCCCAGACAGCAGATCTAGAGATCGAATCCCATGGATAACGATTTTAAAAAAACTAGATCTGTATCAGTTAATGTTAAGATTATCAGTTGGATTTAGATATCTGTAATCTTGGTCACACCATCTCAGATAGGAGCTTTGGTGCAATAAATATAGGAAACTAAAATTACTGAAAATCTGTTTGGCAAGTTCCAAGTTGGGAGATAGCATAACTTTCAATGGTGCTACAGAAAAACCAAATTTGAATCCAGAAACTGAGATTGGAGAACTGAGTGATCAGATCCTTTAGTGGGAGAACACACTAGCCAAACCGCCAGATTGCCAACTAGAGGAAAAGGACATATGCTCTAGAAGCATATATCAGGAGAAGGGAGACTATGAGACACATAAAGCCTGGGCAGATTAACCCTTTTAGGTTGCTAGCTGGAAGTAAGAAAGAGACTAGTAAAGAATATGAGGAAGAAGAAAAGTTGAATGTGGATACTGGAGTTGTGTGAACCTTACAAGCGCAAGAAGTATGTAATGAAAAACTAATTAGGAAGGTTGTAGCTTGAGATATGAATCGAGTTATGGCAGTATCCTAAAGGATAGCTTGAGATATGAACCCAGTAATAGCAGCACAACAGGTACTAGTTAGGCAAGAAGTTACCAAACATGCAGATAAAAATATATGTAGGATATGAACTACTCTGTTAGGTTTACTTGTAAATAAAGATTAGCCAAAAATAGTTATAAAGTTTTTAAGATGAGTGTAAAATCTATAGGTGTTGCAAAATCTACTAATAAATAATAAGTTACATCTTGGTTAGGTTAGGAATGGATAGCAGTTGTAACCAGAAGGTTTAAATAGGTATCCCCATAGTTGGGATGTAGGTACAGTAGCTAGTGTAGAATCTAGGGCAGACTACTTAAATAGGCAACCAAAAGTTGTATATATGGCTAGTTGTACTCTTATTAGTAATAACTAGAGAGCTTAAATAGGTAATCTCACAGTTAGATTGCAAGTCTGGCAGCTAGTGTGAAACCCAGACAAACTACTTAAATTAGGTACCAAAAGTACACATGTAGCTTGATGTACCCTTATTGTAATTGTAATCTGAAGTTAATAATCTAATAAAAAGTCCCTGGCCAAAAAAGTTACCTTAATACCAAAAAAAAAAATAATAATAAAAATATTTCTCTTAAATTATATATACAATACCCTATTTTTTTAGCCTTTTCAATTTTTCAATATGCATTTACAATATTTAAAGTTTTAACCAAAATCTTAAAAAGCAAGTTTGAAAATATTATTGCCTATTTAACAACTTGAATATTTTTATTTTACTAAAAATAAACTAGCTTGTAGTAATTTTATTTTCAAATCTCTCAAAATTCAATACTATATCTATTTTTAGTTTTAAATTAATAGTTTTAAAGCTAAACAATTTATTTAAAAAATATATAAAGTATACAATATAGTCTTATAGTTATTTCGATACTATATCCAAGAATATTTATACTTTTTTTACTAAATAGATTAAAATACTTTTTGGTTATATTTAACAACAACCAAAAAATTTTATATAATCTTTTTAATACTAAACTAAACTATCTTAAAGCTTTTAAAATCAAAATGTGACTTGATATTTTACTTATATATACATATTTTTATAATTTATATTTATATATATTCATATTTTTTAACTGTTTCTTTTGTAATAATTTAGCCACTCTAATAATACTTTTTTAATTTAAGCTATTAATTCTGCAGTATATAATACAATTTTTAATACTAATTTCAACCTTTTATTTTATTAACTAAATAATTTTATATATACTATCTTTTTATATCTTATATTTAATTTTCTATAATTTCAATTATAGCATTTTTACAGAGAGGACTTGAAGATCTAGAACTAGCTTGGCAAGACCCAAGCAAAAAAGTAGAGAATATCTTTGATAGTACTATAAAACAGATCTAAATTGAACTAAAGAATTAGCAAAATTGGCTAACAAGATTCTATAATAGAAGGATTTACCAATCTGGCTACCAGAGTTATATCAGAGAAAAAAAATATAAACTTTGAAAGCATATACCAAAAAAAAAAATTTAGATATCTAAAGCCTGAGAAGGCTAACTCTGCTAGGCCAACTAGATTAAAAGATTAAGAAAACCAAAGACACAAGATATAAAAGAAATAAGAAATGAGTATTAGAATCTAAATATCAACTTTTGCAAAAGTAATAAAGTAACTATAGAGGTAAATAATTTTTAAGTATATAAATAAAGCTATAGAATAAGTTACCAAAAGTCTAAGTAAGTGTATATATAAGATATATACCATTTTAGCAGATTTAGTACAGAGATAAATGCCTCTCTGGTTATGAAGAAAGAACTGGGTACTAGAGGTTAAATTCTCAGATTCCAAAATGAAAAAAATTAAATATAAACATTATAGTACAGATATAGAGTTAGAGAGTTTAAATAAGTAATTTTCTAGTAAATTATAGTTATAGCAATTAGTGCAGAACCTTAGAGTAGACTACTTAAATAAACAACCAAAAGTTGTATATATAACTAGTTGTACTTTTATAATATAAATATAATATAGCGAGTCTTCAAAAAAACACTTTCTGTCTATCACTCATACACACATTTTCTCCAATCTAATTTATTAAAAAAGCTTATAACTTTTCTTTTTACTAAGTTAATCTTAGTCTTGCTTCTAAATAAACTTGTTATCTTCACTAAAATACATATAATATCTAAATATTAGGATTATATCTTTCAAATTTATGCAAAAACAGCCTGTTGGTCTTTTTTCTTAATATTCATAAATAACTCCAAAACTGCTGTCTTAACCTGCTTCCCAAGCTTAAGTAAATTTTAAGAGCTCACTATCCTCATTATAACGAGCTATAGCTCAAGCTTGTAGACCCAAAATTGATAAAGTTATACTCATATAACTTCAAACTCTTTTTACTTTTACTTTTTTGCCTTTTGCCTTTTAAAAAACACTTAGATACGTTTTCTGTATAACTTTTTACTATGTAACCCACATTGTCCAGGCCTCAAATTCTAGTAGTTTACCTTCAATTGAACTAACTATATTTAACTTTATTCTAATTTAGTACAAAACTAAAACTTTAACAAATTTGGCCTTATTAAATTTAAACGGAGCAATCTTTAGCACCAACCAAATAAACGTAACACAAATATCTGTCATATGCAATAATCAGACCCATGATTACCTGGTACCCTGTGATTATTTGTCACCCTCTATACTTATTTGTCACACTCTATAATTATTTGTTACACTTCTATGCTTATTTGTCACATCTCTGTATTTATTTATCATGCTTTATATTTATCTATTATACTCTATAATCTACTTACCATTTAGCACACTATTACAAATATACTTTTAACTGATTCCAGTTATCTTATAACCTCTTTCAAACTCTTCTTACTTGTACTTTACTATACCTACTCTCGTAGCTCAAGTACTCAATACTGTAGATCTTGATTACTTTTATCAAAAATATTTTGGAAACTATAGTGTAGCAATTTACGAGGATAAACCCGATGTTGTTATTCCCATTTCTAAAAGCTTCTGGCCAACAGCATGCTTTAACAAAGATTTCTGTAACAAACAAAAAGTTACACACTTTTTCTCTGCTCTACTCTACTGCCCAGATCACTTGCTTTTGCAAGAAATATCATACTAAATTCATTGCCCAAAATGACTGAATTTATGATTTCAATTATAATATTAATCCAACTACTAAAAACCACCAAACCAAAAAACTTGCTCAACAATTGCAAAATATAATACAAACAATTCTACAATCCCTACTGTCCAAACAAACATTACTAACAATAATAACAACAATGCTCCTTCTACACTGTCTCTTACTTTTCATACTCACACATGCTCTAAGTGCTAGGTTATAATCACTTGCAAATCTGCTAATGATCAATATCTCTCACAAGATGATATTATTCAGCAAGAAGGAAGTTTCTATCATGCTAACTGTTTAGCAAGCTCTTCTACCTCTACCATATCTATGCTATTCAACCAAATTCTTCAACAACGTATTGACCAATTTAACAAATTCTCTACAACTTCTACTGCTTCTCCTGTAGTCACTAACCAACAGTCTAATACAACACCTCAATAACAACAACAATAACAACAACAACAATCTAAAAATCCTATTACTTTATTCTTAATCAACAGCCCATTTCCAAAAACCAACCCACAACCCAATATTATTCTGCAATCACAACCACAATTAGATTTTTATACTACATCTACCCCAACCCAAACTTCAAAAACCAAACAAACTAACCCTTTTAACAATCTTTTTTTACTTAGCTCATTACCAAAGCCTTCCTCAAACAACTCTAATATGGAAATTGATCTTCTTTTATCTCTTTTAAGCAACTTTGATATTACTTTTCTAACACAATCTAGCGATCATAATAATGATTAACACCAAGATAATAATTTAAAAGAGCAACTAATTAGTACTCTTTTTCTAAAAACTAACTAAAATAATAACAATAACAACAATCAACTTCCAACTACTAGCCAAGACCATGACCAAAACCAATCTAATACTCTTCTTTTTCCTAATAAATCTAAAGTTAATCTATCATATAACTGGCTTCAAAACTTTCCTATTACTGCAAACATAGAACTTAATAAAAAACTGCAAACTAAACTGTCTCATTAGCTTTTTGGATTCTTTAAAAAGTACCTTTATGACTTCTATTCTGGAAAGGAAATCAAACCTGATAAACCACATCAACCCATATATAAAGCATCCTTCAAACATCTCATTCACAATATTGCTAGTTCCTATTCAGAATTTTTTACAGATTTAATCTTTGATCACAATTCTCATATTAATAAAAATACAACTATTCCCTTTGAATATTTAAAAACTACACTTAAAAACATTATTCTTCAATTTACAACCATTCTCTTTACCAAACTTAACTATAGAGAAATCTTTGCTTTACCTGTTACAATTCCTCTATATAA